TATACAAGTTTATTACGAAATCAAATATATCAACACTAACACACAAACTTTTAAAAAACATTAAACCAATAATATTCCTAATGTAATCTTTTTTTCAGACACCTTTTATAAATAACAAAAAGTCAGATTCTATTATTATCCAATTTTTAAAATTAAGATGATACCATGCAAGTTACAAATATGACATTCTACAAACAGTAAAGGAATAAAATATATGATAAAGATTACTTATTTTTAATTTTTAATTAATTTTTATTAGAAATTAATGTGAATTTTAATATGTGAGTAGAGTAAAAGCAAGTGAAATATTAAATTAGGAGTAGAGTTGTTCATGGGCGGGATGATCCGCTAGATCCATCATGTCCGGTCCGTTAAAAAAGCTGGTTTGGATAACTATTCTCGAAGAAATGGACTGGTCTGAAATGATTTGTTAAAATTAATAGACGGACATGGGCAATGGAAAAAAATTTGGACAGGCCCGTCAGACCCATTAGTATTTTTATAATAATGAACTTTTATAATTAACATTTACAAATAAAATTGAAAATTCTTAATAGTTATCAATATCTAACTTAATTATGACTCGTAATAATAACATTCTTTAAAAATCCTAAATTTGAAAATATAATTATTTCAATTAATCAATTCTTTATTATCTCATTTAGTCATTTCCTTTATCAATACTTCATATTTAGTGAAACAATTTCTTTCTAAAGTAGGTATATTATTATGTATTTACGTCAAATTTTAAGTTGAAAAAATTGTTATGTATTTTGAATTATTTTACATCACTTGTATTTTATATAAGTTTTGTTTCCATAAAAATATAACAAGATCTTTAAGCCTGTGGGCAAGCCCGACCTGTTTATAGAACGGATATGGGTAAGTTTTCAAGTTCGTAAAAACGGGCTTGGTTTTACCATATTAGGCCCGTTGGACAAAAAAATAGGTTAAATCCGGCCCAGATCCAGTCCAAGCTCTAATTAGGAGGAAATAAAAAGAGATCTTAATTACTGCTCGGATACGAACATAAAAGGGTGTGTGATGAAGCAAAATAACGTTAACTCTTATATGAACTTAAATCCTGCTCGGTTCTCTTCTCGAACAGTTCTCCGATACGATGTTAAATTTCAAAAAAGGATAAAATGTCACGAGATTATGCAAATATACACACATGCACCATACATAGACTTACATGCGATTTGATGTTTCTTGCATGCATTTGTACATGCAAACTCACACAAAAGGCGATAATGTAACAAAAAGACTCAAAACTTGTTCTTTAAATTGGTAACGATATTGATGAGATTTTTTTCTTCGACAGATGTAAAGTATGACAAATGAGCTCACTGGCCATAACTCAGTCCATGACTCCGGATGCTTCGGTAGTGTTTGGTACGCAGACTGAATGGAAAAGAACAGGACGGGACGAGATGGAACAGGACTAATTGTCTGTCTTATGTTTGGTACGACTAGGATATGACATGACAAGAGTGTTAAAATGACCACATACTCTTGAATGTTGTTCAATGTTATTTTATATCATATAATGATTGTAAGTGGATTTGCAGCTTGATAACATCATTTTAACATTGTTATGAACAACGAAAAAGAATAAGTTTTTTTTTTAATTGGATGACACTTCTACTTGTTTTCGCCAAAACACCAAATATCTCAAGATCGGTCTTGTACCCAATTTACCATGTCACTACAAAAATGCAAAGTATTTCCCTCGCAAATCCGTCGCTAAAAAGGTCATCTGTCGCAAATCCGTCGTTAAAAACTCATTCCCTCGCTGATCAGCGAGGGAACCTGTTTTTGGCCAATCCCTCGCTGATCCGTCGTTAAAAACTCATACCCAATTTACCGTCTCTTTCTCTCTCTCTCTCTCTCTCTCTCTCATATAAATAAGGATTCACGTTATGATTTTCTTTATATAAAATCAATTAAGACATAAATGAATTAGAATCAAACAGAACCCAATAAAGTAAACACAATAAAACAAGAGTAGTTATTTGCTTTTAGAAAAAAGTACATATTGTTAATTGTGAATAAAAGTGTAACAAATTTCCTCAAAACAAAGTTATTTTCAAATTTTCTGTTAATCATTAAATAATTACAGTTAAATATTAAGGATTGAGTTCTGGTGAGAAGAGAGGTTATGTAGAGAAGTGTAAGAAAAGATATTCACCATTTGATCAATCTTAATTGAATGTCAACAGTAATGAGATGCACCGGATCAATTACCTTTTAAAACCCAAGTCATTGATAGATATGAGATTAATGGTCTGTTTACCAAATTTTCCATTAAGTTCTATATGGATAAATTTGTCTGTCTAGATAAAAATTTGTTGTTGTTTACTTTTTTACTTGAATCAATCGTCTAAATGACAATAATGACCGATCTAGCCTTCAAACATGTTTGAACTTTACAACAGTTCAATCAAACTCAAACCAAAAATCTATTGTTCATCAAACCATAAAACTACCAATCTATCAAACTATCTGAACATTAAAACATAATAATCAAAAATTTGAACATCAAATTAGCAAAACATAATAACCAAACATTTGAACATCAAATAATCAAACCATTTAACACATAAAAAAGTTATTGATGCAAGAAACCTAATTTATCATCGACGGTGCAATGGGGAAGGAAGAGAGCAAAGTCGACAGTCGTAAGGCAACAACAACGAAGGAGTTGAGCAGCATGGACGAAGGAGGAGTTGCAACGATGGGGTCACTGGTCGTCGAAAATGAGCAGCAACGATGGGGAAGGAGAACTTTTTATATGTGGCTAGGGTTTTAACTTTGAAGAGAAGCGCTGGAAGGAGGAATCGACGAGAAAATTTGGAACCTGTATCGATGAAAACCGAAGAAAGAAGGTCGTCGACAGGAGAAAAGTTACTGGAGAAGAGGTGTAGCGATGAGGAGAAGTAGAATGAAGAGGTGTAGAGGTCGACCGACTAAGGTTTGAATGAAATGAAAGGGGGTGGGATTGAAGGGGGAGGCATGGGATTGAGCGGTTTAATTATCAATATTTTGGCTTAACGGGGACAACACACCCCTTCCATACTCTGCAAACAAGCCCATATATTTATCACTAAGCCGCATGTAAACATCCATATATGGCTACAAATAAACCAACACAGTCATCAAGTTGATTAAGCCAAAAATAAACACCCCTTAAAAGTGATAAAGATTCAGATATTTTCTTATATTTTTCATCATAACTTTTTTTCTGGCATAATTCTCGGTCTAGATTAGAGATGGCCAAATGGGCCCGGCCCGGCCCGTAACCGCCGGAGAGGGACCGGAACCGGCCCGGGACCGGTTGTGGACCGCCGGTTATGAACCGGTTATGGATTTTAACGTTTTTTAGGACCGAGACCGGTTAAGACCGGAACCGGTTATGTAACCGGTTATAGGACCGGACCGGCCCACCCCGGTCAACAAAAGTCAACGTGTATATATATATATA